TGAGTTAGAATCTGCAACAATTTGGATAACTCTTGTAAGTCTTATTTATTATCTAGATTAAGTTTCCTGCCTGTGCAATTACTATGTATGAATTTCCACTATTATAGCAGTAAAGATCAATAAGAAACTTATGTCGTAGCAAGCGCAAGCTCAGTGAATCTATGTAAATTGGTTATATCAGTCTGGAATACATACATTTCATAAATTTGAAATAAGTTGAAGAGCAGTATCATGCAATAAGCACCAACACACTACTAGGTTAAAAGTTGTCAGGAACATTCCTATAACTAAAACATCTCATCAAAAACTGCCTATTATACCTTCAAGTACGTCTCCATCTAATTTCATATAACATTATATTGGATGGCCATGGTAAAACAAAATTAAATTGGGTGACTATGATAACTCTAAATATAAAGTTGGGTGATTATTGGTGGATTTAACCCAATAATATTTATGTTTCAATTTTTACTTCTCCTTTTCTTATTCTATTTTGTTTATGTTTCTTTTATTCTTTTGTTTTATTTATTTTAAATTAAACTAAGGTCATAACGATCACTTTACTGAAAAATTGACTTCTTATGGACAATCTAACGATCCCCGTCTAAAAGATCTTTAGCTGCAAACGTTTGAGACTTTGGGTGCTAGAAATCAAGTAAGAAACTTTATTTAGTTAAGAAAAAAATTAAAAAAAACTACTCAAACATACTAGACTAGAGTAAAAAATTGAAGTTCTGGTTATTACTGGCTTCTACCACTAATCAAATAAAGTATTAGTCCATGTTTGGTAAAATTGAAATTCGAATTTTAATCTAAATTAAATTCAACAATTAATTTTAACTATATATTTTATGGGGATTCACAATTTTTTAATTATATATTTTATTAATTTTTATCAAAATTTCTTAAAAATTTAATTTCAATTCCTACCAATAGAGGGCTAATGTTTTTCTCTGGTTGGGCCCTTTTTTTAACACGATAGAAACATCACAACATGACTTGGGCTAGTCAATTAGTTTTGGTCACTTTCACGGGCCCAACTCCTTCTTATCTCACTCTTTCAAGCTATAATATTTCTCAAGCATCAATCCAAAATGAGAAATTTATCATTAAACGGAAAATTATAATGGTTTTCATTGTTGTTTCTCGATCAACGTCAAGAAAATTAAAGAAACAAGTTTATATAAAACTGGTGTCAATGCATTGAATGGTCCATGAAAAATAATGAAAATAATTCATTACGTGATGCATGTTCTTTGATTGATTTCATATATTTTACATAAAGTTTCATTGAATATTAAAATTCAATTTACTAACAATAAAGTAAATTCTAGGGGATGAATTGAACGCATAATTCAATGCTCATCACTATGGAATTATACGACTTTTCCCTAAATTTTTAAGAATTATTCTGCATAATTGCTATTTTGTTCCATGCCAACAATTGACTTACTTTAAATTATAAACAAGAAATAATATTTTTCCTCTTTTTAATATATATTTAAATTCTTAATTAATTAAAATTTTCATTTAATGTGATTTTAAAATGCCAATAATTTTGGACTCATTTATCAAAACTTCACTACATATTCATACAGTAGATAAAATGATTATTCACTCAAGTACCAGCTATTTTATTTGTGTGTTTTTTCTTTATTAGTAACTTATAATTTAGTTAGCTCAAACGTAGTTCTTTCACGAAATGTCCTACTAACATAGGAGCACTCCTACTAAGAAATGGAAGAGCAAACTTCTTTTTTTGGGGTCAAAGGGCTATTCTATTACAAAAGAAGTTATGGACCTAGCGATGTCAAACGGGCTGAGCAGCTCGTCGGCTTATGGGCGGCTCGAGCTCGTCAAATGACGAGCCCGAGCTCGAGTCGAGCAGGGGGCTCGATCCCATGAGAGGTTCGTGGGCCTTGTGCCCACGAGCCATTTTGATGAGCTCACGAGCTCGTCCAAAAATATGATTTTTTTTTTTAAAAGGTGCAAAAAAAAATAAAAATAAAAAAATACAAGCTCGCGAGCGGTTCGTGGGCCGAGCCAAGCTAGCCCCTGAGCAACGAGTCGAGCTCGAGTTCGGCTCGTTTTTCACGAGCCACGAGCCCGAGCCAAGTTCGTAGGTTAAAGAGTCGAGTTGGCTCGACTCGACCTATTGCCATCACTATATGGACCCAAGAAACTCCTCATTATAATCTCGTAATAAAATCCAAACACATGAGAAAATCATATATTCCCAAGATTTCAAAAATAAATAAACACAATAAGAACATATATCTTAAATTTTATATGGTTATTAAAAAATAAAATACTCAACTTGAATTACTTAGTTGGGGCATACAGCCGTAGAAAAGAAAGAAATTTGAAAACAGACAGTTTCTTTGAATCCTCGTCCATACGCTAAAGTAAACCCTAATAAAGAGCTTCATCACCAAGATTTCTGTTGCGTAGCTTCTCTGAGAAGCTAAATAAATACATGAATTGAATAGACAACCAATAACATCCACTAACTTGTCGGCTGGTATACATTTTATATTTCAAGGGAAGAATTTGTCTACTCCCGTCTCTTTCTCAGTACCTTACAACTGCCTGGATATCAACTAATCAACCTCAATCAAAAATCATTGATGCTCTGAAGACTGAATCGATCGGGAGTAATTTTCTTCTTGTAAGGCTAAAATTCTCCTGTGGATTAAATATTTAAGGGAGGGAAAAAAAAAAAAAAAACTACAATCCTTTTAACTATAATTATAAATTTTTAGGTTCTTAACTCCATTTTGCACCGATCATAGAGTAAAATATATGGAAACCCCCGAGTTAAATAAAGAAGATTTTCTGTGTTGGGTGATTTATAACTCTTTTTCTTTCTTCTTTTTTTCATGTTGGTTAAATTTTCAGTATTGTATATTGATTGGTTTTTTTTTTTATTCTCCACTCCTAAGCTTGTATCTAATTTTATTCAGCATGAATAAATAGTCATCCTCATGGTAGTTTGTCTTTTAAAAAAAATGAAGATGGGGTTAGGTCAAATTCTCCACTCCTAAGCTTGTATCTAATTTTATTCAGCATGAATAAATAGTCATCCTCATGGTAGTTTGTCTTTTAAAAAAAATGAAGAGAGAAGATTCCCAACAAGCCTAATAAACTTGTGTAAATATAGCCCCCATTTGAACCACATTATTATAAAAATGAGAATGAAAAATATAGTCGTTATGATTTCCGCACAAGAGATAAAATGTCAAATATGGTGACTTAATGTGATGGATAACAGTCATATTTTTCATTTTAATGAAAAAATAATGGGACTCAAACAGGGCCATAGTTTACAGTTCATTATAATTACTCCATAGCTATATAAAATTTTCTTGAGTTATTTTGAAGTCATTTTGTGTTAAGCCATTGTTTCGATATTACTTTATTTTGCTAAAATTCTACTTTTCAAGAAACGAGTGATTGATAAGTGAGCAGAATATATGAGTCTTACGAAATAAGTGGTTAAAATTAATATTGATTAAGAAAAGTAAACTTATTGAAAAAAAAAAATCTAAATGGAGGCTAAATACATTGCATATATAGAGGTAATTTCTCTCTATACATGCGTAAAGTAATATGAGAACATGTAAAGATGAGCATCTAAAAATCCGCCATAAGTTCTCGTTTGTCCCTCATATTTTAAAATTTAATTTTTTGAAAACTCATTTTTAATTACACATTTTTCAAAAATAAAAAATAAAAAATCACGTTCCGCATAATCTATTTTCAAAAATTTTATAGCAAACAGGGACTGAGCAACTTTTAACACTGTCTAGCTACAAGACTAGGATGTGCACTTATGTAGGCATAATTTATAATCACATCAAAGTGACTAACATGTATATTGATTTTTTGCAAATTTAAGTTGTGAGTCCTACAAAAAAATCTATATATGTATGTATGTCTGTGTGTCATGAGTCTCCAATTTGACATTCATTAAAATTATAATTTATTTTTTTCTCTCTTCTTATTAACTACACATTTTTAATAAAATAATATATATTACACGTATACATAAAAAAATTTCTTCTTTTTTAATCACACATTCTTAAAAAAATACTATAAATCTGAGATCTTATGTAATATGTAAATAAGAAACATTTTTAATCAATTTAAATTATAATTTAGGTTTTGGCAAGCATGCTGTGAAGTAACTTTTGCACAAAATAATTTTTATGTATATTCTAGCTGATTTTATGATATGTGTGTGTGTGTAAAAGAGATACTTTTCTTGGTTACATAAGTGTAGTCGAAGAAATGGAAAAATACAGGTCGGTGTAATTCACCGTTTGTTACTTTCATATTCGTTGGTACGTATATACATACTGGTAGTATATAGCTTTAGGGACACTCCAGGTTGACACTGGAGCTAAACCCCTCTCCTTCTCTAGGTGAAAGAGGTGAAACGTCCCCAAAGAATATCTGTTGCCCCACATCCACTCTACCCTCAGTTCATTTCTTGTTTAATCTTAAAATTTTTTTAACTTAATTAATCGTTTGGCCCTAATTATTAAAATTCATTTTTTTTTAAAAACTTCTTTTTTTATCCGTAAATTTTAGGATTCATAATTTTTTTCAACTTTTCAGCCACACAATTTCGCCAACTTTTATTATTAAAATCTAATAAAGATTTAATTTTTAACAGAATCAAACGTGAGCTAAATATCTATAATCGCATAGCCAGTGCAGATCTTTTTTAAGTATAATTATTTGAACTGAACTAGAAACCGGACTGAATAAGTCGATTCTCTGTAATTCTTGTTAAAATTATTCGTTTAGTAGTTCTTAAAAGAAACAAAAACATCATCTATGCAATACACGGTATTTCCTTAGGCACGGTCAAAGGGAACATAAGACTTGATTTATTCTGGTACACGTGAATATACACACCAACAAATTAAACGAAACTTGACGTCCAAGCAACCTAATTGTTTTTCTAGAAAATAAAAATATTATTCTTTTTTCTCTTTCACAAAATATAAGCAAGCGAATTCTAACTCTCTCTCTATCTCTCTCTTTCTCTGAGTTCCTTGCCAACAGCAAGACAAGAATCAAGATTTTTGGTTACTTTGAAACGTGCTTTTACAACTTATTTTTCTTAAGTGCCTTTTTTTGTTAGTTAATTTATTTTTAAATTTGTCAGATTATAAATAGAGAAGTGGTGGAGGAAGCTGGAAAGGAAAACCCAGTCTGGGATGGGCATAAGAGGAAAGCAAAAGACATGACATGGTGTAATGACTTAAACGAAAGAGCCCACCTTCAAATTATCTCTTCTCCACAAGAAAACAGTGTTGTCAACTCCAAAATTGATGATGTTAAGACTTTAACTTGCCCTTCATGTGGCCATACCATACAACTCCAAGATCAGGTATATATGATTTCTTCCAAATATGTTTTAGAATACAAAATTACAATAAATAAACACGTCCTCATGGCTTAAGTTTTCAGATGAGGTTAACTTTATTATACTATTTAAGTTTTTAGATTCGTTTGTCCAGTAGTAATAGAACATACAAAAAATTGGGCACGACGGTCTATGATAGAAAATTTGAATTTGGCACACAAAAGTTTGTATCATACAGTAAGTTTGTTCGATATTATGGAAATCTTTGCCTATTCATAAAATTGTATCAGAGCGAATAACGTAAATCCCTGATCCTACATGTGTTAAAAACAAAATTAAATGAAGAAATGTATTTTCTCTTTAATAGTTTAAGCTTTTAATTAGAGAAGATGGTTAATTGACAATATGGGTGTACGCATATTTGTTACAAGCATGTTCTTGATTTTGAAAACTTCATTTCTTTTTGTTAATACCAACAAAATCTTGAATCAGACGGGACTTCATGAGTTACCAGGACTACCAGCTGGAGTGAAATTTGATCCTTCTGATCAAGAAATTCTTGAACATTTGGAGGCAAAGGTGATTTCCAATGCCCGGAAATTGCATCCTCTTATCGATGAATTTATTCCAACAATTGAGGGTGAAAATGGGATTTGCTACACTCATCCAGAGAAGCTACCAGGTAATTAATTAAAATTCAAGTTAATTATTAATTTCTTGAATGAAAATGATTAATGTTTGATCGAGGTTCAGTTGTTCATATCTAAGAGTGTCGTGTTAACCAAAGACTGATTATTGCTTGAAAGCTTTATCTGATATGCCCTTTTTTGTCCCACGTGATTGTGACCAAATTCAAAAAGAGCTAGAAAATGGAGTAATGATGACGTTGGTAATATATACTACCATATTGTGGTGAATAAAAAGCTTTTATTGTTCTTTACTTGTTAAGTAATTCAGCTCAGACATGTACTCAGATTTGAAATCGACTAATTAATTAATAACGATTGAATATTCATAAATATACTTTTATCCTCATCAATATATCCCATTATTTTCTAAATACATTTTTCTCTCTTATTTTCAATTACACATTCTTTGATAAAATAAGATTACACGTAAATTATAACCTTTCCTAATTATTTAATCACATATTTTCTATCAAAATACTATTCCAAAATGTATTTTGGAGGGGGGGGGGGGGGGGGGGGGGAAACAGGAGTTTGTATAATGTCAAATTTGGTACATGTCCTGGCTCAATTGTTCATTTTCAATTTTGGTCAAACAGGAGTTTGTATAATGTCAAATTTGGTACATGTCCTGGCTCAATCGTTCATTTTCAATTTTGGCGCATGTTTAAATAACAATTTAGGTTGGTATAATATACTTTTTATCTGCACATTTTATAGTACTTATAATTAATAACCACTTATTATCCACACATATCATGCCGATTCTTGATTTTTCAAGTTAAACCAACGGTTAGTCATATTTTCACAACATTAATATTAGAACAATCATGCTATATAGACATAACGATTGACATAATTTCACATTGCAACCTATCATTGGACCGCTTAAAACGTAGCCAACGTTTTCAATCAATTACGGGATTGTTTGAGCACCATTCTTGTACAAAAAAAAATGCATTTTTGAATAATGTATTGATAGGAAATGTGTGATTAGAAAATAAGAAAAAGTTTTGAGTTTACGTATAATATTTTTTTATTGAAAAATATGTGATTGAAATATGATCAAAATATTATTCAAGAATGCATTTTTTTCAAAAAAAAAAAAATAATAATAATAATAATGGGGCTCAAACAAAGGCTACATCTTGTCAAGACTTATTATGTCAACCATTATGTCACATATTTTCTGGCAAAATAACATTATTCATATTAGAATGTTTGAGCATGCTTAAACAGGGGATTGAATATCATTGTAAAATAGAAAAAAAATAATTCTTTTCATGTCTAGTAATGTTTACTTAGTAGTCCAAACATGCTAACGTTCAAAATAGTCCCTCTAAAAATTGGATTATTTAGTAGGAAGTATAAGATCATATTTATCTAGCGTGCATTAATTGAAGATTAATTCGTATATGCATGGCGTAATATCAATAAGGTATGTCCATGGACATGGGCAAATATTGAGTTTCGATCGATTTTAAAATGTCAGCCTCGTTAAAGAAGATTAGACAAGCCTTCATTTTTATTGTTTTCTCACCCTTTAACATATTCAATGTGCAGGAGTAGGCAAGGATGGCCAGATTCGCCACTTCTTCCACAGGCCCTCAAAGGCATACACAACCGGGACTAGAAAGCGACGGAAGGTACACACCGAAACGGACGGTGCTGGAGAAACAAGATGGCACAAAACTGGCAAAACCAGGCCTGTTTCAACAGGTGGAACCATAAAAGGTTACAAGAAAATCTTAGTCCTCTATACAAACTACGGTAGGCAAAGAAAACCTGAGAAGACCAATTGGGTAATGCACCAATATCACTTGGGCAGTAACGAAGAAGAAAAAGATGGAGAATTAGTGATCTCAAAGGTTTTCTACCAAACTCAGCCAAGACAATGTGCTGGATCAAGCATTATCAAAGACAAGAAATCCAGCAGACAGGATAGCAATGTCCCATTTGTGAAAAATAAAGATTTCGTTGAGTACTATAATACTAGTACTCCTTTTATCTCATACAGTATCGGGAGCCAAATTAGCGACAACCCACCTCAGGTTATTCCTAATTTTGTCGTGAATGGTGATGGGTCAACTTTTTTTCAGGTTTCTTCAAGTGCAAGCAAAGGCAAATGAGGAATAAGATGGACGAAGGTGGTTTGCATGTATTAGGGTTAACAGTAATAATGACGCTTTTTAGTGGTAGTTGTTGCCTGTTGGGGAAATAATTAAAGTTGAGTTATTTATGGGGGATGGTGGAATAAAATTGTTTTGAATAGAGAGACATTTCTTATCATGTATGTATACATATATATATCTATACATTTAAGCGTCACGCCTATAGTACAATGAAACTGATCTTGTAATATTTCTTTTTAACTTGATATTCTGTGATCTTTGCATGATCTGTACGTACTTTTTTTCCCTTAACTTCGTGTCAATGAAATAAAAGAATTTTCAGATCATTTTATTAGAGTACTCACATTTCTTTCAGTTTGTGAAATAAACTTCAAAGACATGGTTGGTTTACTTGCTTCAATCCTATGAGCAACAAACCCCACCTGTCTCCATTGGATCTGTTCTTGGGAATATCTTGAAAAAAGGAACATTTTCATCTCCCTGGATTATGATTAGTCAATTCTATTTCTTGATAGGGCGGAGAAGGAATATAATTCAACAGTAGAATGTCATCTTGATGTGGTGAAAGTCATCAATTCGAGCCCAATTATCCCTAAACCCAATGTGAATTCTTCTATTTGGATTTGCTTAGCCATCATGATTCAATGAGAACGGTTAAGAGGCTTGAAAGACTAAACCTTAGCTTCTTCCCTAACTAGTATAGATATGCCCAACCGCAGCTAGCTAGTCAGACTAAATTGCATCTAGTCTTTAATTCATATTTATTGTCAAAACAATCATCTCACATAATCAAAAGGAAATGGCTTTTTATAGTTGATGGACTAGAAACTACAAATGTACAATTTTTTTACTGTTATTCTTCACTTAATCCTCTTCAATACTCTTTAATCTAACATGCATAACATATTGTAATAACATTTGAGATATTGGAATGAACTGCATTGGTCAAAAGGGGAAAGAAAGTAAAATGTTTATCCATATACAATTCTCTCCACTATACAAACGTGCACATAGAATGATGGAAAATATGTGATGTAGAAATACTAGATGAATTCCCACAGTTGGTTAGCAGCAACAATTAATCACAAAAGAATAAGAGGCAGAATTGCAGCAAGCAGGAAAATCGTAGAAAGAGTGAAAGAAAAAGAAAAAGGCAGCAAGAAAGGGAAGGAGAACTGGAGAGAATGGGGGAAGAAACCCAAAGAAGAAGAGATTGAGGGGAAGGCTAGGTAAGAAGAACTTGTTCACCAAGCACAATTCATATCCTTCATTGTCTCCTTCAATTACAATGAAAACCATATAAATATTAAAACATAAACCTACTAATGATGGGCTTGGACCAACCCAATAATCCAAGCCCAATAACTGTAAAATATACAGTCAATCTGATGCCCAAAATGCTCAAAGTTATACCAAGGGGGACGATCTTTCGGACTAACCAATCATCAAAACTCAACAAATGACACTAGTGCCAGTTGCAACTTATCCCCAATAATATGATCTAATCAAGGTAACCTGAGCGAAGGAAGACCTTGTTGACTCCTTTAAAATTTCAATGAATTTGGATCATGCTACTGAAGTCTCTTTTTGGGAACCCATGTGCCATCAAAATTAATTAAACTCCAATAAATCTGGATCAAACTACAGGAGTTTCTCTCTAGGACTCCATGTACAGTCAGCATCAAGTTGATCCACCCAACAAGCAAGGAAACAAGTGTTGAGCGTATCTGACATTTGGTTTTTACGATTGGGATTCGTGTTTTAATGAACAGTCCCAATAGATTGTGATCGTATCCAACGGTGACGATCAATGGAGATTGCATATAAAAGTTGTTTCTCCAATTTCACAAACTTTTCACTTTGGCTAAAGCGAAAATACTCTCGTTCTTCATACACAACCTCCGGTGGCGTTCTTACGATTTTTTTTGGGTTTTCTAGCGATCTCCTGTGAGTTTTTGGATTTTTCAGTGAACTTCCGATAACCATTCGTCCATTCTAGATAAACTATTCAAAACATTCCCTACATTTCTCTCATTTTTCTGAAAATGGCATCCAAGTTGACAGACGAGGTGATGGGGGACAAATTTGTAGAAACTAGGCTAGACGAACCCATTGTACTAGGTTTAGATGAAGTGTCTAGGGCCATATTAGAGGGGAAGAACATTTGGAAGAGGCCGGACAATCGCATGGATAGCTTGATTCATTAGAGAGCCTCTAACTATCCTTTGAGGATGAACACTGCTGACTCGATAAAACTGCAGGCGTGCAGGCAGAGTAGTATAGGATCCCAAATAGCATAGGCCTTATAGTTTTAAACCCTAATGAACGAGCCTGCTACTCGAGGCCTGGGTGCGTGGTTGTAAGAAAGGCCATTTTCATTGTCATCGAATTTTCGTTTGACTCGAAAAACCCATATGTAGTCGACTAAATTTCAAGAAGAACCAAGAGAATCTAGAGACCACGTACCATTGCACATAAGATATTGTTAGAGAAAATGTCTAACTTTATTAGGACTCATGTATCATCATCTTGTCGGTAACGTCAAACTAGATTAGAACTCTTGTATCACTTGTAAGGCATGTCCTTTTGTTCTTATATTACCAAGTTACAATCATTAAATTACACAATGTCCAAGTGCACCGATCAGCCCTGTAGGTCTGGAGAGCCGTGGACGACCTAGACCAAATATAAGACCAATCAAACTAATATTTGGCCAATTTACCTTTATCCTTCTATTCGAGGTTGACAAGAATAATCCCACTTGCTGCTAATCATGGTTATATCATTACTCAAATGTTGTCTAGTAGTAAGAAGTTGAAATATGAGATGTGTGTACTTTTTGCAATGTTCATGCACTTTTCCAATGAAAGTCATCAACGCTGGAATGTGCAGGTTCTTAATTTTGGACTTTCTCATATGTAGTGTTACTTCAGATGCCAATTTGTACCCCACAATTATTAATCCAAATTCAATACTTAGGGCTAATCAAGTCCCCGTAAATGGGGCCAATGCATTCCACTTCACACATACATGTTCTTGTAATTATTGTCAAGCAAACGTCTTTCAGTAGTGATTTGATTGTACTAATGGATCATTGATCATTTATTATATTTTCTGAAATAATTACGTCAGTCTAGATGGAAGTTAGTTAGGCATTTTATCAACTGTTATTTTGCAAATTGGCTCTCTAGGATTAGGATGAACTCTTTGTTGTAGGCCCAACCGCTTGCTCTATGCCATAATAATGTACGGCGTGGCTTTCCAAGATTATGGACACCAGCACATTGAAACGTGGATGCCGCCAGGGGCGGGTCCAGCCTTTTCGGGTTGTGGGGTCAAAAATTAATGTGTAATTTTTTAAAATAATATAATATTAATGAAAATAAGTTAATACGCGTTTTGACACATTGAAAACGTCTTATAATTATATCATTATCGATATTATTAAATGAATTTTGCTACATGTATAGTTTTGTTTATCATGTCATTTATGGATGTTGAGTTAACGGCGAATAAATCAAATTTTAAGTAGGAAGTAAATGAATTGAAATAAAATTCACATTTAATTTAGGAAGTAAATGAAATTTATATTTAACGAAAAAAATAATTTGAAAATAATTCAAATTACATTTAATCGGTAACGATTTTAGAATTTTTGACGTCTTTTTTCATATTAAATTTTCTAATAAAATGATGTAAATTATATTGTACAAAAATAATAAACGTTAGTGAACTATTTGAATTTTTTTAAAAGAAAAAATGTGTTAAACGCCTTTTTTCAGTACGTACGTTTGACGCATGTTTAACTATTTTTAAAATATATTTGGATCATTCGTTATGACTACGATATAGTTCTTGAAACGAGCTTCTAGATGAAGCAGGCGATTTGTGGATTCGGATAATATACAATCATTGACAAATTTTAAAATTTAGCATATTATCAAAATTTTTGAAATACTAATTTGGAACGGCTTACTTTGATTCATCGTAACTTTTGTTATGGTTGATCATTTCGCATGTCATTAAGCAGCAAAAAATTAGGTCATAAGCCCTTCGAAATGATATTAAAAATGCAATGTTTTGACTTCATTTGGCATGTATTAAAGTAGGTCGTAAAACGGTTAAAACAACTATTTTCTGAAAAAAAAAAACACACCAAAATTTTGTGGTGTCATTTGACCCCATGTGAGTCCGACACTGGATGCCGCATTGAATGGAATTTATGTTAATATTTAGTTTTAATCGTGTTAAGAATCGATAATCACAATCCAATAAATTAATAGAAATGAATTCATACCTGCGGAAGCGATTGTTGATATGAATAGTAGTTGTAATAGCAGCCAAGATCTTCTTCTCCTTACTCCTCACAAAATATCAGCTATCAATGGGGTAAGTCAATAAAACATATGGAGAGGAGAGGTGACCTAGCCTTTATATATAGGAAATAATTTGAGTCGTCCCATTACGAGTAAAATTCTAATTAGAGTTTATTTTCGGCCCACATACTTTAAATTACCACATCAAATTAATTACAACCCGTAAGGTGTAAAAGGCCCAATTGATCACTTAATAAATTTGGCCCAAACACAATTATCATTATGAGCCATATATCTAACCCGTAAAATTTTGCAATCGAATGTAAAGCTCACATATGGAATTATTAATTATTCCAACATTCTCCCACTTAGGCAAACATTTGATTGCCATAACAAAGTTTTAACACCCGGATTAGACTATATAGGTTACCACAAAAGTATAGCTCCAATGATGACACCTTACGTAACATGATCCGGTCCAACAAGAATATTAACACCGAACATGGAAGTCGTTACACCAATTTAAGAGATGTAAGACCATTCCACAGCTACAAATGTCAATATCCTTATCGACATGGATCCCCATCCTCCAACCAATGTGGTAGTATGTGGTATGACCTTAGCACCAAACGTGATAAAAAACTGTGCTAACTCATGTCGGTCATCATAATGCTTCGAATCAAAATGAAACCACATGTCTCTAAAAAAGACTCATCTTATATCTTTATACGTCATATTTCAAGATGTCAATAATATAAAAAGACATAAGTCAAATACATACTTAAAATAGTTCATGGATAGGGGAAAAATTATTTTATTATCAGAAGGGGCTGTACCCGAAAACATATGGGTTGCCTAAGTACCTCGCAAGGAAACGTAGTTCTTTTCATAAATAACTCCCACTAACCAAAAATATCAAATGTTTCCACAATACCCATATTAGTAACATGGGTCTT